ACACATTCCAAGTGTTTCTTTTGCTAGATTTCCACTAGGCATTAAATGGTAAAAATTTTAGTAACAAAGTGGGCATTAAAAAATAATCGTGTCATTACGTTCAAAAAATAATTATTAAGTTCATTTCCATATTGCATTTTTTAAATTGCAAGAATTTTTGTGTCATTCTATTTAGTGTCTAATGGAAACCCAGGCATTAAACATTCTATGAATTTTCGAACATAAACAGAAAATATATTTTTTAGACTGATGTTGCGGGCGCATCTATAGCCCGTTTGAGAGGGGTGCCATATTTTCAAAAAGTTTAATTCAAATTCCAATCCATTTTTTGTTTTTAATATTTCTTAAAGGGGTTGCAACCTGGTAAAAAGCTAAAACTAATTATTTAAGAAGTTTAATAAAATATCACAATAAAGTGGAGGTCAAACGATCAAACTATTTATTTCGAGAAATATTTTAATATGGGTATCAAGCGCGGGAAGTTATAGAAAATCTTCGTTCAAACATATTTTGAAAAAGTTTGCTAAGAAGATCAAAATATTTTTTATTAACAAGTTAATTAAAAATAGTATTTTAATATGAGTATCAAACGGAAGAGGGTTTAAAAAAGCTGTAAAATATTTTGGACGAGGGTTGCCATCAGGAATTTAAACTCAATTTAATTAACGACTTAAATGAAATCCTACTAATATTATAAATGGGAAAGTTTGCCCATGAGTGTATACATATGTTTGCTGCTCTTTGTTTGGATCAAATTTATTTATTTAAATTATGACCTGGATTAAAATACACCAACATTTTTTTTAACAGGGTTTCCACCTGCTTAAAGAGTTAAATTACAAGTCCCCGAAATTTTACAATAAGGATGCTCAAGAATAAAAATAGCTTAATTACGGAAACGTTTGTAAGGGGATTGCCACCTGTTTAAATTGTATTCATAAATGAAATGTAGTACAATTACAATATGGCTGGCAAACGTTTTAAGAAAGTTTTTCTTTTAATATTTTGAAAAGGGTTCAAACCTGTTTAAAAGTTATTAAAAAATAATAAGTTACTGTTTAAAAAATCAGTTTAAATTTAAGTGAACTTTGCAGAAAAAAATATAGAATAGAGTTCAGCTGGTAATTTTTTGCTATTTGTTGCCAGTGTGACCAACATTTCGTTCGAGAAGATAATCGATATGGTCGGTAACAATAACCACAAAGCAAAAAGTCAGGGCAAATACCCCTCGACACTGGCGTCACTGTTGACAGTTATAATTTGGAACAAGTGGTGACCTTCGTTTACTTGGGAACTAGCTTTAAGGCCGATAATAATGCCAGACTTAAAATCCGCCAATAGGCGGCCCTTGAACATCATATTCGATGGCGTATGAATAGAAGGGTTGCAGTAACCCTGAAAATATTCAACGCAGTACCCGCTGGTGGGAGCAGATGAAGAGGATACTCTGTCCGATGTTACCATACGAGACGAGGTGATAAAAGTTCAGTTAGTCAAGACTTTATTTACTTATCGTAACCTAATATATTGGCCAACGCAATATGATTTTTGAAGAGTTTTTTTGATTTGGCTTGTAAGGAAAATACAAAAACAAAATATTTTCGCTTCTGGTCAAATTCACGTTTTGAGTAATCATTAACGACTTCTTAAGTAAGTTAAGTCTAGAGTAACTGAGCCTCAAATAAAAATAAAAATAAAATAAAATTATGGAGTCTATTATATGAAATATAATATAGATAATATAAATACAAATTTTCTTAAGAATTCTGCTGCCGAAAATTTATGCAATTTAAAGTGTGCTATATTGGGTTATAGATATCTCAAATTAATTGAAATATATAAAAATAGCGCTTTAAGTTCGAAAATTCTTAGAACGCGCCTTAAAAAAAAAAAAAAGATCTCAAAAGCGAACATTTCGCATGCAGACTACTTTTGAAATGATGGCGTCGTGCGCAGTCGTGCAAAGCAATTTTGGTGGATAGCTTTAGACACAATTTTTAATTTAAATGTTTTTTTTATTGGTAATTACAAGTATGTAGTAGAATTTTACTCTCGCACACCAAAAGCATTTTACTGTTGTGCTGAATTGTGCCAAATTTTGTATGAGTAAGTCGTTTGTTTTACCTTCAGTCTTCGGTAAAAAAGGATTGTGTATAGCGCTTTTCGGCATTGCACGATTATGCTTCGACATAGTATTTTTGCCTGTATTGGTTAAGAAACACATACATATAAAATATATGATGTTATAGAATTGTTTTTGCTTTTTATTTAGATTGAGTATTAAATCGGAAATTTATGTACATAAATACATATACATACATACATATAATAAATACTTGGATTACATCAATAGAGGAAGGGGTGGGGAATGCCACAAAACTAATTCTTCGGTTGTGAACAATATTTTTAAAGATTTACCTAACTTATCTATGAAACGTTCGTTGCATAGTTCATTAACCTGATGGATTTTTTGAGGTTTTATAGATTTGTGAGATTTTTTACGAGATCTTTTATCGTGTTTGTCATCATCGTCGTCGTCTTTGTCATTATCGTCGTCTTCGTCATCGTCATCATCATCGTCGTCGTCTTTGTCTTTGTCGTTTTTGTTTCTATTGGTTTTTCTTTGTTTACTTTTTACATTTTTATGACTTTTTACATTTTTAACATCATCGTCGTTATCTTCATCATTATCCTTGTCGTTATCATCATCATCATCATCGCCATCATCAGCATGTCGCTTTGTCTTGCGTTGCGAGCTTTTTCGCCGTGATTTTGAATTGGATTTCCTTTTTTTGTCATCATTATCATCATCCCCATCTTCGTCTTCATCGTCGTCATCCTCTTCATCATCGTCGTCGTTATCATCGTCATCCTTATTTTTTCCATCATTGTCTTCGTCATCATCCTCATCCCCATCTTCATCGTCGTCATCATCATCCTCATCACCATCATTATCATCATCATCGCCGTCAACATCATCTTCGTTATCGTCGTTCTCATCTTCATCTTCATCGTCTTCGTCTTCATCATCTTCATCGTTATCATCATCTTCCCCATTTTCATCATCATCATCGTCGTCGTCGTCATCGTCGTTTTTGGTTTGCCGACGTTTTCTTCTTGACTTGTAAGTTCGCTTTTTGTCTTTCTCATCATCTTCATCTTCATCTTCGTCGTCATCCTCATCATCATCTTCATCATTTTCATCATCGTCATCCTTATCATCATCTTCACCCTCGTTGTCATCCTCTTCATCGTTATCATCATCTTCCCCATTTTCATCATCATCGTCGTCGTCGTCGTCATCGTTGTTTTTGTTTTGCCGACGTTTTCTTCTTGACTTGTAAGTTCGGTTTTTGTCTTTCTCATCATCTTCATCTTCATCGTCATCGTCATCCTCATCATCAGCTTCATCTTCGACATCATCGTCATCATCATCATCATCTAAATTATTCTTTAAATTTTTGTTTCTCACTCTCTGTGATCTATATTTTTTTTTGTATTTTGGTTGATTTTCTTCCTCATCGTCATCATCTTCGTCATCTTCATCATCATCCTCATCATCACCTTCTTCATCATTATCATCACCATTTTCATCATCATCATCATCACCATCACCTTCATCATCATTATCATCATCATTCTCAATTAATCGACTTCTATACACAATTTTCTTGAACCTCAATTTTCTCGCGCCCGGTTTTCGATAACGCACACGCATATATGGATCTCTATCTCCATCATCTTCTTCATCATCGTCCTGTTCATCATCGTCATCGTCATCCCCATCATCATCATCGTCGTCGCCGTATGAAATTCTGCGTTTGATTACTTTATATTTCTTCTTGATTTGGTCGTCATCATCATCATCGTCTTCATCATCGTCATCATTATCCGCTCTATTCTTTTTCCTTATACTTTTCTGAAATCGTCTAAGCCTTTCTTCTTTACTTTTATCTGTTTTTGGGTAAGTTAATTTAGTAATTTCTTCATCTTCGTCATCGTCATTGTCATCGTCTTCGTCTTCGTCGTCCTCGTCCTCGTCTTCGTCTTCATCTTCTTCATCATTGTCATTGTCATCATCGTTATCTTCGTCATCATCATCATCATCATCATCATCGTATCTTTTACTTCGTTGTGCCTTTTTGGCTCTTCGTTTTATTTTTTTATCGTTTGTGTTTTCGTCATCATCATCATCATCGTCGTCATCATCATTCTCCTCATCATCATCATCATTATCCTCATTATCATCGTCATCATCATCATTCTCACCATCATCATCATTCTCATCATCATCATCATCCTCGCCTGCATCAACAACAGTTGAGTTTGATAACAGATCGGCAGTTTTATAAAACATTGTTTAAAAAACTTTTCAATTTCAAAATATTTTCTTATGCATTTAAGTTATAAAACACTGTGGAGGCATTTAGTCAGAAGTCAGTCGAGTTGGTTAAGAGTTTGAAAATGCAGATGAGTAAAGAAGAATTTCAATAGTAAGTGAAGAATGTGTCGATAGCTAAAAAAAAAACTTCATTTCGGGTATTCAACAATACGCACCTCTTGGATATGGCCTAGACTGTCAGTATGTCTTTCATAATTCTGTTGGCCATACGTTCAATATATGGCGCTGACAAAATTAATAAAGTTACGTTTTATCAATGCTTAATAGGTGTATTCACAATGGTAGATTGACTGAGATTTGTATAAATGTTTGAAGGTTCTTGTAAAAACCTACTTAATATATATTTTGCAATAATGAATGCCTTGTAGTTTATATGTTGTTGTGTAGAGGAGTGGGAATAGATTCATTTGTATGTTCTCAATTAAAAAAGCTTTTGAAATTATCGAAAAAAAGAACACTTACTCTTTTGATTGATCAACCACTGCAACACACGGTTTTCGTTTTTGAGATTACCTATGTATATGCGAAAAAAGGAAAGAAACATAAGATACTTAGCATCTAATCAGTCTCAATTCAAAAACTTTTTTCTCAAACTCACCATCATACATGATTGGAACGCCTGTCTCGTAGTAAACTAAGGCGGGGAATGCGAAAATTCCAATTTCGTGCGCCAACTTCACATCGTTCGATTTGACAAATTGTATGCCCTGCTTGTCCGTATCATCGTCTATGGTTTCCAATTCCTCCAAGATTTGTGGACACGATTCGCATTTATCGTCATCTATTAGATTGTCAAAACTTGAGTTAGTAAAACGAAGAAGTCTAGCTTTTTCCGCGCGAGTCAACTTACAGAAAAAGACCGCCAAGTGTTCGACGTCATTGATCAGCACTTGCAAAGTTTTGCGATCCACAGATTCGATAACATCAGCCGTCGACTCATGCAGATCGATAACCCAATCCAGAATTTCCTCCTCCTTCATGAGATCACCTAAAATAAACAGGAAATAGCAATGAAGTAAACTTCCTTCAGCGCCATTACTCTTCCACGCACTTACCATCGTATATTGTTCTGAATTTGTGTCTGTAGAATGCCAACGCTGGCAAACTAGCCAAATCATATTCTTTGTCCACATCCGGATCGGAAGTCTTGATAAAATCAATGTCCTTCTCTTCACATTCGTCATCAATGTTTTCCAATTCATTGAGTATCTTTTGTGAGCGCTTATCACCCTCGCGATCTATAGGTTCAATGGAGAAAAAGCAACATTTATTACACATATCTCCAGCAACAAACAAACTCAACTCGCACTTACAGAAGAACACCACAACATGGTCGTTTTCCGACAATATCTTATCCAACATTTTGGTATTTACTTCCTCAATTTTACCGGGTATCTCCAGCGTATCTTCATCGGTGATCCACGCCAACACCTCATCTTCATCATCCAAATCACCTGTAAATACCAATGGATCACGATTTCTAAAGAATACCAACTGTGGATAGTTTTTAATGTTATGCTTCTTAGCGATATTTGTATCCTCGGTGGTCACAAAAATAATGCCAGCCTCATCTAATTCATCGTCTATGCTTTCCAATGCACTCAAAGTTTTGTCGCACTTCTCGCCAGGTTCGCAAGGGCCGGTAAAGAATACCACAACATATTCGTGATCGTTGATTAGCTCGGTGAGAATTTCGTCGGTAACTTCTTCAATGGTGGCAGTACGTTTTTGTAAAATCAACCATTCCAATACTTCATCCTCATTCATTAAGTCGCCTTCGTACAGTGCTGGTATCTTGTTTTCGAAGTAAATGAGTGCGGGCAAGTGATCCAAGCCGTATTCCTTGGCCTCGGCGGCATTATCAATGCGCACAATAACGATACCCTCCTTTTCTAGTTCATCATCGATGTTTTCCAATTCGTTGAGTACGCGAATGTCTTGCTTGTCGTCTTTGTCGTCTGGTGTGGAATTGAAAATATGCGTGTGCAAAAATTTATCAACAATTAAGGAAATTTAAATTGAAGAAAACTACATGTTTTATTACTAAAGCCACATTGTCCTATATTAAGACGACATTTTTCTATATTCCCGTGTATCGGAATCAAACAAAAAATTAAATCCATATTGAACTGATGAGAGTCAAACTTATTGTACATCAGAGCAGTTCAGATATGTACATCTATGGGAAGAGAGAATGTGTTGGACCTAAGACGTTCCATGCATGATTTAATATTTGTTATAATCGGAGGATCAAAGGTTTATAAATCTCCTGACCTAGATGACCTATAATGCTGCAGAAGATTAAGGAACTTATGGTCTCTTGGCTAGGGTCAATATATACTTTAATAATATCAAAAAAAGTTGGAGATACGAAAACATTTTGACCTGTAATTCTTACTCGGATTTAAATCCCGTTAAAATTGATTGAATGGCCTCCTAGCTTAATAAGCTGATTGGCAAAACATTAGAGGGAATGGATGCGACAGAAATTTCGAGCTAATTACAATCTAAAAACCTTCTAAACAGTCAAAAGTCAATACTCTAATTTGAAATTACATAATTGTGGCAGATAATTTCAATAGCTAATAAGTTCATAGTTCTCAGCTTTAAGTCATTAATATCTTCAATATTCATAAAATTAAAACTAAGAAATAAGTGGAATTTTTTACTTACAAAAAATAACAGCCAAATGTTCAGTATTTTCAATCAGTTTATCCTTCATTTCATCGGTGACTTCCGGTATCTCCGAGTGTCGCTTCTGATGTACCAGCCAACCCAAGAGTTCGTCTTCTTTCATCAAATCACCCTCGTATATATGCGGTATGCCACGTTCGAAGAATACAATGGATGGTATTTCATCGATACCCCACTCCTTGGCCTCACTGTCGTCGTCGATTTTAACGAAAGCTATGTCATTTTGATCGCACTCATCATCGATATTCTCCAGTTCGGCGAGAATCTTTTGCGATTTCTTTTGATCTTTGTCGTCTGTGGGAGTAGGGGGGAGAGCATGAAGAATTAAATGGATGAATAAAGAGAGTATAATTTCATAATAAAAATCAATATTTTCTAAATGTACACACACAAGCTAAGTATTCCTCTGTTGGTTTTTTTTTCATTTACTAGAGTACGATGAGCGAACTAATTTACTTAAATTAATTTATAAAATGCCTAATCTAAATTTCCATCTCTGCTTATAGAATTACACTTTCGGAATTATGTTCCAATTGCCTTTTACTGAAAATTAGTGGTTAGGTTTTAGACAGCTAAGTATGTAGAATAGCGGCCAATAACGTTTTACACGCGCAATTCAATCAAAAGCCAATAAACATAGACAACACAGATGTATTTATGCACAGTTATTGCCATTTTTTATATTTTATTGCAAAGCTATATAAAGTGTTATTTTTCAACAAAATTCAGTTGGATTTTTTAACTTTAATCAAACCAGTTTTTATATCCACTTTTTTAATTATTGGGTATTCTCGAGTTAAATAGCTGCCTGTCATACCAGAGGCTATCTGCTTTGGGTGAAATTTCTAGGCAGGAAAACTGAAATCGTTTAGCCCTTGCGGTCTGAATATACATAAGTACAAGTCGGTTAATTCGCCCTTTTAGCTTACTGATATATGGAGCAAACAAGTTGTTCAGACAAACATCGCTGCGATGATAAAAGCGCAGTCCGCGTACCGAACGCTGAGCTATTAGAATAGGAAAGTGGTTTAGTGTCCTTACGCCCGGGGTACCGGAATACTTAAAAGAAAATCTTAGTGAACAGTAAAGTGTAGTGGCATTCCTCGGCGACTCGAAATTCACAGGAGATCTTAAAACGCATCGAACGACTGCTGGACCCACATATTAGGGATAAGATATACAGTTTGCACTGTCTGATGAGTACAATCGAAAGAGCTCTCGATTTTAAGGAAGTTTCTCTAAGCGCCTTCTTGGACATCGAGGGGGCTTTTGATAATACTGCGACAGTTCTGTCTCAAGAGCACTAGTCCAAACAGGCACAGAAATCTTTACTGTCGGGTGGATTGACACCATTCTTCGTGAGTGTGATGTAACACCGTCACTACGCAACAGTTCACGGAACCTCAGAGCAATAAGTGGATACCTACAGAGGAGGTTTTCTTTCCCTTCTACTCTGGTCTGTCGTGGTTGATGGCCGCTTAACCAAACTAAAGGAAAGTGGTTACGATGCTTTGGGTAAGCGGAGTATTAAGTACTTATGGTTACGGAAAAATTCGACAGTACTCAAGCTGACGTTTCCAATGAGGGCCTCAATATAAACCCGCAAAAGGCCCTTTGCGAGAAGGTATAAACCGAAGCTAGGTGCGGTTACCCTTGGAGAGACAGTGCTTTAATACTCTGACGAAGTCCAATATCTTGGGGCTACCCTGGATAAAAGACTAAGTTGGACCAGGTCTAGAAATTTGCGCATTCTCCGAGTCTATGCTAAGAAAATCTGCTTTGGAGAGAAATTCCATGTCAAAATTCCAGACCTAGAGGTCTGATTAAATGATTAATCTTAATTAGATCCCAGATAAGTACACTGGTGCACAGACGGATCAAAAGGGTTTGAAACGCAACTTTCCAGCTATTTTTCGGACAGTCGGGCACCCATAATGGCCCTGTCTAATAGGACTACCACTTCCACGCTGGATATGATATGGATGGAATGAGGTTGATGACCCGTAATTTGGAAATTTAGCCTGAACGAAGAATCTGCATTTCAGTTTTCCACATACAAACAGTTCCGACCACATGAATAGCGCCCCTTTTGATTCTTAGTATATACAGTTTTCCTTTTGTTTATTATTCATTATTTTTTTTTTACAAAAATATGGCATATTCTGTTACAAAAACCATGTAAATTCGATTTTCAAACTTTATACAACAAATTTTCATCAAAATTTATAATTAAAAAACAACGTTCTTTGAGTAAGCAGTTTATAGCCAGCCCATTCAATTTTAATAATCAAGGTGTAAATTTAATGATTCTAAAAAGTATGAAATTTTTATGAAAATTCGTGGAATTACATATTATAATTTTTGTATAAAGAATATTGTATATTTTCATAAAAAAATTGATGATTATAAAGTTAACAAAAAGAACCCTGTCAATACGGATTATCAAAAGGGTGCGCTATTCCAGTGGCTGGCACTGTATATAGCATGTACAGAGCAACATATGATGCCACAGATTTATTTGAGCTGTTTTGTTCGCTTATCATAATATTCGAAAAAAAAATTTAACTCTCCAACTGCCATTTTTAATGTATTTTCATAAAAGTGGTTTTTAGAAGGGGTCAAAAAGACCCGATCATGAAAGGGTTAAATTCTATGATTGTATTTCAGTATCATTCGTAAGCTGAACCATGCTGAAATCGCGTCGAGAAATCACTGCAATTCAACGAATTTGGCGCTAAGTTTTTGCATGTGCCTCTTTGCATCTGTCTCGTCTTTGTGGACTTTTACTATTATTTGAACATATATATAGTATAATACACATACCATTCATACATACAATATTAGTTTGACAATAACGCTTATTACAACGATCGAATATTCGATTTTAAAAAGGTATTCGAATAATCGGAGCTTATCAACTATTCGAATAAGCGAAGAGAATCAACTGTTCGAATATTAACATTCGATTGAAAATCGTACAAACGATTGGCGATCGGACGTTCGAATATTCGAATTATTCGAATAATTTTAAGAGCCCTAATAGAAAGCCTTAATTTATTTATAAAGCTGAGCACGCGATTAGCGTTCACATAATATTTCTCCAAATGCGCCGAAAGTTTTACAACAATCAATTAAAACACAGTGTTGAAATTAGCTCCTTGTCAAACAAAATAAATTCAAAACAGCTTTACAAAACATCATTTTCACGCTACACACACAAACATCTAATAACCACAGACACATGCACATATGTATGCACATTCATTCTTATCTACATTATGTAAAAGTTCCGCTTGTTTTTGATACATATTGCAAATCATGCCTTCACATCCACCATAGTCCGCTGACTATAGCTTCAGCCGATTTGCCATAATCAAGTAGTATGTATGTACATATGTACATACATACATACACTACACCCACTCTAACGGCAACTTACAATAGAGCACAGCTACATAGGGCATCTTCTCAATTATCAAATCCATCATTTCATCGGTAATATCCTCAATTTGATCGGATGTTGTTTGCTCTTCGAGCCATTTCAGCAATTTCTCTTCATCCTCAAGATTGCCCTCGTAAATGGTTGGAATGCCTTTTTCAAAGTAAATTAATTTAGGAACTTTGTTTATGCCGTATTCGATGGCCTCTTCAGGATTGTCGATTTTCACAAAAGTAACGCCCAACGCATCGCATTCATCATCGATGTTCTCTAATTCTTCGAGTACTTTTTGCGATTTTTTATCATTGTTATCATCTAAAAAGCAATCGATTAAACAACAATTTTGCCATGTTGATAAAGGGATGAGGGTATAAGGTATCTAGTATAATTACAGAATAACACCGCCATAACGCGTCCTTCCTTCACCATCTTGTCGAGCATCTCATCGGTAACATCTTCGATTTCGTCGTGCTCCAGCTGTCCCACCAGCCAATGCAATATCTGCTCCTCAGCCATGAGATCGCCATCATAAATATTTGGAATTTGTTTTTCGAAATAAACTATTGCCGGAATCTGTAGGGGGTGTGCGCGTGTGGACGTATTGTGAAAAAGTGAGTTGAAATAATACTAACTACATATAACACGCCCAAAATCGAATGCTTCATATATTACCGAATCGATTCCATAGTCCGCTGCGGATTTGGAATCATCAATTTTTACAAATTGAATTCCATGTTTATCGCAGTCGTCGTCGATTTGTTCTAGCTCTTCCAATACGGTCATTGAATCGTCATTACCATGATCATCTATGTACATATATAGGTATATAGTTGGAAAACATGCAAGAGTTTTTCACACTGGCGCACTAAAGGGTGGTGCAAACAAGGTTCCCGTGTAATAGACCAATACCTTAATTCCGTTCGCGTCGGAATATTATCTTCTCGGACTTGTTTGTGAGTGCCAGGCCATAGTGATGTCGCAAGAAATTGTGTGGCTAATGAACTGGTCAGAGACGGCACCGTGGACGTAATATCGCCTAGGAAAGAGAGAGTGGAAGTTCCCTTGACTATTAAGTTGTGGCCGTCTCTTGGAAGGATGGACCCCGGGTCAACTCAGCAAATGCTGGCGGAAAATCAGGGAATGTGCTACTGCGAGATTAGTTTGGTCTAGGGTGGACCGGGGATAGTCTAGGGATCTTCTTAGGCTTGCTAAATTTGAGTATTGAGAAAAACGGAATACTGTGCGCTTGCTCTCAATTCTAACAAGAGGTATCGCTTAACTTCTCTGCTAAAGAGTTCGAGGCCAAAGAGGTGCTGGAATCTAAATGATTAATGCAATTATTTTCCATGTGTTACAGTTGGGCATTAATTAGTCGCAACTAATATTTTATCGATACAATTGTATATTATCGAAACTCGTCCCTCACCGGCCCAATTAAGCAATGAAGTCTCGTTTAACTCTGCTTGATTTAACGTGCCTATTTCGCCACACAAATCGTACCTAAAACCAATACCAATACCAATGGAATACCAATGAATGAATAAATACTTAAATTTATGTCACCAAGTCAGAAATTACTAAGAGAAATCCACGAATTCACCCTTTCAGTTTCAGAACATAAGGGCTATAGAGTTCAAGAAGATGTTCGAGGAAACTTTCGATAATAATGCATACGGATATATGTACATATCTCGAGATCATTAGTCAAGCCGGGCAAAATACAATCTGTTCAATCGTCTTCATGGAACCATTCTGTCTGTCATCCCAGTTGGTCTCCCTGGAGATCTTTCGTTTATTTGGTGGGTAAACTTAAATTGCAGTAAGAACTGGAGAGTGGTAGGGGACCTTGGATGGGACTGGTTATTTATTTATCTGTTGATTTTGTCGGTTGATTTTTCCGACAGGGTGGAACGATTTTTTATTTTGGAACGAAGATGGCACAAAGCTTCATTCCAAAATAAATAATCTTTTTAAATCCTTTATCTAGAAATGGTATAAATCTTATAAATGTAACTGGCATCAGGCAGCTCGTTATCTAACCGCTCATAACGGTGTTTGTTGGCATATAAGTATGTACAACGGTTTGTTTGTAGTTTCAAACTCTGTCCTGATGACGGCAAGACATCGGAGTACATTTTATGTTTTGCAAAATCCAACCGATTTTCTCTTACAAATAAGAAAAAGCCCTCAATATTAAAAGTAAAACAAAAAAGAAAAAAGAAAATCATAGTGTTTGCACCACCCTTTGCGCATTGAAATCGTGCTGTTAGGATTTCATTAAGAACCGTCTTTTATACAAAACGTACAAAATAATACAACCAAATTATCGATGTTGCTTATCAGAGTGGACAGTGTTTTAGCTGTAACATCCTCGATCACGTCATCCTCATCGCCAGTCGATTTATTTTGCACCAACCACTCCAAGACATCTTCTTCACGTGACAATTCACCTGCATTGTTGGATGGGTAGGAGGAGTTATTTAGTAAGCCAGTTTCAGCAATATTTATGTATGTATGTATGCGATTGTGGCAGTTGTTGTTGTTGTTGTTTGTGTAAACATACATACAAACATATTAGGTTTTTACTTGTTCGTTTTGTTTTTTTTTTTTATTACCTTCGTATATGATCGGCGTCTGATGGCGATAGTAGACCAGTGCTGGAAGATTGCCCAAATTGTATTCTTCAGCCAATTCCTCATCGTGTATCTTGACAAAACCGATGCCCAATTGATCTGCTTCATCGTCGATATTTTCCAATTCTTGCAAAGCTTTGGCACATTTACGACATTGCGGTTTATCTGTTCACCGTTCGGAAAGGGGATGGGAGGAATATTTTGAACAGATATTTATTAAAAAATTTGCTTTTAATATTTGTAGATGCAGATAAGTAGATTGGAGGCTTTCGATCGGGATTTGGATGCAATATGTAGTATGTTCTCTTATGTAGGCATTGAGCAGCGCGCAGGGCGGGCAGGGCGTGCATAACAAGTATGTACATACGTATGTATGTAGGTAGGGCAATCTGGTGTAATTACAAGTACAAAACTTTGTATGTACATATGAAATATATAACAGGCTGGTTTGTGTGTGTGCGTGCTTGTGCTTTTGCGGAAACAGGGGACGTGCAATCGAGTGTGTGTAAATGTATGTACGCAGGTATACATATTTATGTACATATGTATTAGATACAGATTTGTGTATGTGAATAGAGGTCACATTTTCGTTAAATACTTTTTTTTTTTTGTGTGGTTGCTGTGTATCACCAACTATATAAAGTTGAAGAATATTGCTATAAGTATATATACAGATGAACGCTTATGCATGTGCATTAGGGTGGTCCTTAAAAAATATGACACTCTTAATTTTTCCAAATTATAAAACCATTTTTAGGGGTCGCTGTAAGGTTTCAAACATGTAAATCTGATAAATATGAATTTCTGTTGAAAACTATTCTTATAAACTTAATATTAGGTTGGATTTTTTTTTTTAATTTTGTCTAAATAATGCTGGTTACAAAAGTTGATCTTAAAATAATTCCAAGAAATGCATGCATAGGGAGAGCAATATCTTATTTTAATAAGGAAACTGTCAGAAAAAGATCACTTTTCACTGAAACCGGCAGTAAGAGGGCACTTCCTTAGCTCAAATTTGAATAATTTGAAAATATTATTTTCAAATCCTGGTAGCGACCCCCTTGAAATTTATTTTAAAAACAATATAAAGAACTGTCTCATGCAAAATATAAGTGTTTATTATTTTGAGGACCACCCTAATGTACATTAATATTTAAATTAACGCATACAAATTCTAACAAGAAACAATAAAGTTATCGTGGGAAGTATAGTGCTGAAGTTTAGTGAAAATAAATAAATATTCGCTTTAAAGTATGCAACATTTCATTATGCTTATAATTGGTGACAGCTGAATCTACAACCTCTAAATTAAAAACCGCTGCGCATGAGATGATGCAAAGTTTGTAGGGTATCGGCTCCATTACGTTTATTTCGGCTAGAATGATGTTACTGCACTTGTTACACTGTGCGACAGTCAAAAAAGGCACGAATGCGGTGTTGCAATCATGAAGCAGTTTTGTCGCTAAACATCAGTTGTTTTTTTTTTGGCAGTGTAGTGAAGTTTTCCTAATTTGGTATCAAGCACTGTGATTTACTTGTCAAGCTCTTTCATTTGATACCCATATATACCAATCCAGATCTTAATCTTAATACTTATTCTAATTTTAATGGTATTTTAAATCTTAGTCTTAATCGTAATCTTAATCTTAATCTTAATCGTAATCTTAATCCTAATCTTAATCTCAGTCTCAATCTTAATCGTGCCAAACACCCCGCCATCCCAACCATTATTTTATCGCTTTTTTGTCTCATTGGCTCAGTGATGCTCACTGCCCGTCCATATATGTATATGTATGCTTTGAGCACCACTGCATTTAAGTTTGGAATTAGAGCAAAACGAATAAGTCGCTTTTTCGTTACTCTTTCAAAATCTCTGTATATTTTATTTGGGCGCGCATAGAATATAAGCTCTATCTGAGCATCACTGATTTACACTTTCCCGAGCGCGGGATAATGAGTGGTACGCTAGTGTTACCTACTAGGAGGTTATAGGGTTACATTCTGGCACACAATGCTCTTCTGATACATGCGCGCCTTAAACAGAACAAACAGGTCTCTAAACTATGTATCGTCAAACCCGCCAGGCTCCGGAAGAAAAATTCGTCGATTCGAGAATAGGACCTTCAAAACAGGTCTTACGTCGTCGGAGAAATATACATCGCAATGAAATCTCGCTTAAACAACAACATTAGCCATAAAGCGAAGAGAAGCTAATGACATTGTCTACAAAGTCTTTTAGGTAGTAAAAAGCCACACTTGATACTTCTCCGTGTCTATTCGCAGGCTCGGTGAAAGGACTAGCGCTATATTTCCCTCATCTTCGATTGACTTCGCTAGTCATGTATACAGACCACCTGCTGGGCTCTTTGCAACCATCAACAGTGGAATAGAGCCGTGTTACAGACCCAACAGGCTGCATGCCCCTTCTTCGAAAGCTACCTTGAAGGAGTCAGTGGTGTCACGGGGGAGGCTATTGTGCGTATACTTAGAGGACCAAAAGAAGAAGCTTAAAGCTGACATCTAGAAGCGACAACGATAGAAGCATCCTTCTCCTGGCTCCTTTTAATATGAACAAGCGAAGCACCCAAGCTTTATGGACAAAAAAAATCCAGATTTTGAGGGTTTCATAGATCGCAGCACCCATAACGAGGAGATGCCGTAGCAAATTTAACTGAGACACCGACTCAACTTAACAGGTCAGCAATCCGCAAATTAGGGAATCTCCGCTTCAATGCACGGCTATTTATAGTAAAATGATAGGAGATTCTCAACCGACGCAAAACAACAGAGTGACCCCATAATTTCACTGTGATCCTGACAGTGGAAGTTGACACTGATTTTCCTTTCCACTCCCACGAATTTTATGTAAGTAAAAAATCTCCATGACATGGCCTCTGGGCATCGTAATGGACCATTGTGACCTCAAAGTGAACTCTTTTCAGAGCAGCTGCCTGCATAACCTAAGTAAAACCATGGCTTACAAATAAGCATGTTAAGGATGTAAAATCAGTTAAGGCACTCCTTGATAAGCTCCATCCCTTTCTTCGTGCTATTACAGACATTCGTTACATTTTGTAAACAAATCGTACCGGCAGAGTTTCAGTTGTTCTGCAATGCCAAAGCTTTTCGGATTCATAATCTCCCATATCAAACACACTCTCTCTAAAGCTTATCGTAATTGAGAGAATGCTTCGATAATGCACTTGCACTCACACCAAAAATGCATGGTGTGGTGAATTTAAGATGGAACCGAAGGCACAGCATTGTTGATTTTTGTATTTGCTCTTACAGCAAAATGAATTGTGTTTGCATTTTATATTTTGTTTTATATTTAATTTTTTTCTAACCTCAAATTTGAAAGCATAAATGCATTTCATTGCATTTTGTCAATATTTTTATTTTGGTTTGTATTCAAGTTAATATTGCGTGTTTGCTATTGTTTATTTTTCGCCTGTTGCTATCATCTTTCCTAGTAAGTCCATCTACAAAGTGAAATTCGATTGGCATGAGGCCAAATTAAAATTTTATTGTATATTTTATTAAAATGTTTTTAACGCATAAATTTCATGGCATTACTCATTACACAGTCGCACAAAGATGTGTTGTATGTATGTACACACATTCAAATACCGAGCATCTATAAACTTAGATGTTTACTAGCAATGGCGACGATTTTTAGTAATAAAATGAATTTAATTTTTGTTTTTATTATTTCTTCTTTTCACTGTGTAAAAACGTTAATATTCCTCGCGTAGCTCTTGACAACAAATTCGAACGCAAGAGCACATTTTTACAATACAAATATGTATGTATGTCGTAGAATATTTGGTAGGTGCCGCAGTCTGTTTAGCTGTGCGAGCAGTAGTCAGTCGGCCATTTGCAATTGGGTTCACGAATCGTATTTGATGATGATTTGTTTCAGGTCTGGCTAGGTTTTAGTTCGAAAACTAGGCGCCGGTAGTTTTAATCTGGTGTCTGCATTACTGTGCTTTTAAAAACCTAAAAAGCTTATCAAGACTTGTTAAACTTCGCCTTACCGAAAAAGATAATTTATTTTTAAAGACTTGCCATTGTATACTTGCGCTTAACCCAAAGAAGGTTAGTTGTGTGCTAAAGCTGTATGGCTGTTTACACGTTTGACATTGCCAACGCAGTTCGGAAAAAATATATTACATATTTGAACTTTGGATAAATTAGTTAATTGAAAATTTTTCTTGCTGCAAATAGGGGGGTTCCAGAAATTAGCATTTATTACTTTTTATGAGCTTACGATCTACAAAATACAATTTAACCAAAATTTCAAACTTTGTAGGATATTTATGGATACGAATTTTAACCAAAGCTCATCAAAATTTAAAACATTTTGAGGCCAGTATGCAGGTCTCAAGAAAAGCAAAAACTCCATAAAAAAAATGACGTACAAGAAATAGCTTAGAATTTTTCTTGAGTCAAATTTGCTTAAGGCAGTACGCAGTTCTTAAGAAATGTGCTACGCCTTCTACTCGGTTTTCTAAAGTTTTTTGTGTAAAAAAGAGCACAAGGCAACCCAGATGTGTAACAGAAATATATGCCCGTTCCATTTTTTCTTGAGGAAAGCGTGAGGCAACAGGCTGGGGAAGTATCAGATGTCAAAATTTCTTGCACGCACAGACGAAATAATGGCAATTTTTTCTTGACCGTTTTCTTTAGAGCTGCATACGGGCCTTTAATCAGAATATTTTTTATTCTTTTGCAAGTTCAACTTCGAAGCATTTGAGCTTACCGTTGGTCTTTGCCAATTTTTGTACCCGCATTTTCGTCCATATAAACTATGTTTGAAATTTTTATCCACAAAAAAGCCCATGGCAAAAATCAACGGTAAGCCCTAGCTACTTCAAACCTGCAAATTTTTGGTCAATTTTTTGCATAAACATTTCGTAGGATTTTGTCTCAAATTATTGTAAATTATCTTCATGTTTACATATATTCTCTAACTAGAAAACTATGGGTTTTGAAGCCGCAATATTTCAGAATCTGATTTTAGAGCTGTGCCACTTTTGAAGACGGTATGCGATATATACATAGGTTTATCGGAAACGGCTCCTCCGAAGAATTGTAGTAAGATACTATTTTGCAATTAATGTTGTATAAATAAATACTATCTCCGAGAATACTTGTAGAAAGTT